CACACACACACACACAGACACACACACAGACACACACACAGAGGACCCTTAATTAAGCAGCGCAAGGCTTAACATTTGCCACCACGAAGGAGACGGGAGGAGAAGCGCGTTAAGAAACTCGTGGAAAGCACAATATGGAAACGGTGCGAGAGCGCCACCTGCTGGCCTTTAATGGAGAAGAAAAAGGTAGAAGAAATCCCAGCGGGAAGAATTCAGACGGAACAGGCTTTGAGGAAGAAAACGTTGTAAATGTCACCGCGATAGTAAGTATAGCAGGAGTCTTCAAACTTGGCTCTATAATGACTTGTGGACTTCCACTCCCAGAATTCTTCAGCCAGCGTGCCTGGCTGAGGAATTCTTGGAGTTGAAGTCCACAAGTCATAAAAGGGCCAAATTTGAAGACCCCTGAAGTATACAGTAGCATATAGAGGAAGCTTGTCAGGCTCTGCCAGGGAGGAAAAAGACTCGCTTAGTGTCGCCCGTCCTCCGCCTTTTATCGCAAAATAAAACATCTCCCCAGCCCTTGTAAGGAGATATAAAGAAACCAGCTACTGGAGTCCAGTGCTTCTCTCTCTCTCTCTCTCTCTCTCTCTCTCTCTCTCTCTCTCTCTCTCTCTCCTCCTCCTCCTCCTCCTCCTCCCGGGTTTGGTTTGAAAGGGACGGGTGAGATACGCTGCAAGAGGGCTTTGCATCTCTCATGTCTTACGAAGGGGAGGGTCCAACCGGTCAGAGCAACAGAGACCTAGCTCTTTGTTGAAGAATTGGTCATAAACGTTTTACAGGTACTTTGGCAGGGAGAGAAAACAAGCTCCTGGCAGATATAAAATACGGATCAGGTGGGCGTGGTTCCAAAGAGATCTATGAACGATAATCTGACATATTGTGAGTGAAGAAGAGCAGCATTGGCCTTTCTCAATGTGGAAAAAGCTTTTTGTCCTCTGGAAGAGTTGTTTCTGCTTTGGATGTGAAAAGGGACTCTTGACACCTTTCACTGTGGATTCAAAGAATTGATTGAATTTTACCGGAAATCATATTGAATTTCTTCACAATGGAAATGATAGTTAACTATAGGAATACACATCAGTGTCTACAATAACTTCACACTGGATAGCTAGGGTGTGGGTTCCGACTTCTTGCTTGCCCCAGAGGGGGAAGACTAGACAATGGAACGAAACTTTAAGGGTGCAGGAACAGAGGAGGGAGGACAGCACAGAAATCCTAGGCTGGAAGGGGGCCCGGGGGGGCTTTTAGCCCAGCCCCCCTGCTCAGGGCAGGAGCCTTAAACTCTCCCAGGCAAATGGGATGAAGGAAAGGAGTCAAAAAAAAAAAAAAGAGGAAGAACTTCTTGACAGCTGTCAGTCAGGAGAGGTTCCGCCCGAAGGCCTCCTTCAAACAGAGGCTGAGAGTCGTCCAGTGGGGACGGTGGGGCGGATCCTGCAGCTTTGGAGCTGATCACCTGTTAAGTCGCTTCCAGCTCTGCGTCCTACGCTAGGTTCCTCCTGGACACGGATTCTGCCAAAGGATGGCCCCCCCCCGAACCTTTCGACGGTATCCACGGAGCAGTCCGAAGGGGAACCGGTCCCCATCCGTTGGAACCGAGAAAATACTGAGCACCTGAAGTTGAGGGTCTTAAGGACTCGGTCGGTACGACTCCCCTTTCGCTCTCTACGACCGAGTCCTTAAGACCCTCAACTTCAGGTGCTCAGTATTTTCTCGGTTCCAACGCTACCCCTGCATTAGGGTAAGGGGTTGGTTAGTAGAATATCCTTTCTTACACTTAAGCAGCCCTTTAGATTCCTGCCTGCTGCATCAGGGTTTAAAAGCAATCGCCCTTTCCCCACAATTCTTCCCTAGTAAAAAATGCTGCTTTGGGCCTTCAAACGTGAACGGTCTATGGCCAGGGGTAGGCAACCTTGGCTCTTTTGTGACTCGTGGACTTCAACTCCCAGAATTCCTGAGCCAGCCATGCTGAGGGGAAAGCGAGAGATGCTGGCTCAGGAATTCTGGGAGTTGAAGTCCACGAGTCACAAAAGAGGCCAAGGTTGCCTACCCCTGCCCTTGGCTGTGCGTGGCACCGGACCCGGACTCTGAGGGGGGCGCCAGGCGGCAGCTGCCCAGATGCAAGGCGTTTCCCCGCCCTTCTTTCCAAGGGGCTGCCCTTTCCCGGCGACGCCTCGCCTCATTTAACCGTCTCTTCCAGAATTAATCGACGCCGCTTTGCTCCGGCTCTTCCCAGGGCTGCCTTTGCCACTGGCGGAGCGCGTTTCCTCTGCCAGGCAGCGAGGCGGGGGAGGGCGAGGCTTTGGCCCCCCGAAGCAGCGAAGCCAACCGGCCCGGCCCGCGCGTGCAGCCATCCCACGGACTCGAGCGACCGCCTCGGCCTCGGCTGCTCTGAGCGGCCACGTTCACGTCCCCTCCAACTTCTCGGCGCCGCCGCCGCGGGCCGGGTCTTCAGCTCTCCTGGGAAGGCGCGCGGGGCCGATCCCCGCCCACGAGAGGCCGGGTTGCCCACCAGGATCGGGCCACGGCGCGCGAGGAGCGGAGAGGCCGCTCCGGAAAGGGCTCCGCTGCCGGCCGCGCCCAGCCCTCAAGCGGCCCTGGGGAGAGAGCGCGGCCGGGGGTCGGGCCCGGCAGAGCGCGACGTCTCTCTCCGGCAGGCAGGCCGGCCTTTCCGCGGGCGAACAGAAGCCGAAGCCCTGCTTGTCAGCCCCGGCTTTGCGGTGGTGCGCGGAGCCCGAGAGCGGCGGGAGCCAGCCCCGCCCCGCCCGGCCTCTCTGGGCCCGAGGACCGCCGAGCCTTTTCGTCCCCGACGTTTTTGCTCGCCGCCTGAGTTTGGCGAAGCGATCGACTTAGGGTTGCCAGGTCTGCTTCCCAAAAATAGCGGACAAGCGGGGGGGGGCGGTTAAGTAGTAAAAAAAAGTAGACTGTACAGCTTTAGATTACGTACCATTTCATCATAAAGCTTTTGAATTAAAAAAAAATGTCCACTATTTTGTGAAAAAAAAAATAGTGAACATAATGTGAAAAAAAGTGGACTGTCCACTCAAATAGTGGACACCTGGCAACCCTAGATCGACTCCGGCCGCGGCGAGAAAAACCTTTCCGGAGGCGGAACGTTAAGCCTTCGCTCTAGTCTAGCGGGAAAAAAAGGGGGACGGAGCCGGGCCTCTCCCGGCGTCTTCTAGGCGGCGACTGGGCGCCTTGAGAGGGAAAAGCGGGACTCGGCGCCCTTC